AAAATTTGATCCCTTATTTTGATAAATGTTACGTAGAGAATAATGAGGTATAGGATTTTATCGGTGTAAAACCCGTTCCCGCGATCTTTTAATTGATATACCTAGCAATATTATTTCGATTTTTACATAATTGACACACAGCACATAGCAGTTACCTTTCTGAAGCTGTTGCGCCGAAAAATCAATGTTTAAGTTCTTGAAATTGTTCCCTAACTTGATATCGATGGTGAAACTACCATACCACGTATCTCGATTTTTGTCGGTTTTGAGTTAGCTGCATAAATGAGTTGTAGGAGATGCCCTTTATCTGCCACCAAAATATTTTTGTCGAATAAAATCAGGAAGTTATCCAAAACCGTAGTTCAAATATCACATATCTCAGCGCTAATTCGCAATTCACTTATCTCGCGTATCTCGCGCCGGCGGGAAGTTATTGCGTACACACGGCGCGCTCTACTGTACGAAGTACCGAGGCGGATAAAGAATGGTGGTCGTGTTTCGTACCCTCTTGACATCACACGGCATCGGGTACGTTTCGGGAACATCCTGAATGCATGGCAAAGCATGTCGGCGCAGAGTGGATCGAGTCAATAAGAGAGGTCGGATATTAAATTTTTGACCAAACCTGCAAATTTTGATGTTTATTTTCTCACATTTTAAATCTCAACGGGTGATTTTAGAAGAAAATTTTACGAGGAAACCAATGAAACCACTTATAGATCTTAAAATTTTGGTATAAACGGAGTTATAAGCGTTTAAAGTCCAAATTTTGTCTGACCTCTCCTACTATCTCGATCCACTGTGCCGCAGTGAAACTACCGGACCCCGTATCTCGGTTTGCAACGTCGCAGACGCCCTGTCATACTATATTTTTTAAATGAAAACCTCTCAACATCAATTCTTGAAATCTTCTGTGATTTTTCTTCTTTGAGTGACGAAGAATCTGTGAATACTTCAAGGAATGATATATTGGCTGGTTTTCATTTGCAAAAATAAAATGGGAGCATTGATTTTTAAACACCGCAAACAAGATACGTGGTCTGGTAGTTTCACCGTCGATGCGCTTTTATTAGAAGGCGACTCATCCACCGGGAAAGGAAATTCACCTTCTTTATTAGAAGTGTTAAGGTATTCAAGAAAGTATGAAGTAGTAGTAGTAGTAGTAGTATCCTACTTCTTGCGGTACGGGTCGTATCAGTCTTTCAATTTTATGCTATGCAACGATTCTGAGTCCGTCATGCCGTTTAATAGTATTGTAATTATTAATAAAGATACGATGATTGGTCCAGTTGTAGGATCAACAGAAGCTTTCAGTGCATGAATAGAAGTACACTGTTCAAAATGACTATTCGCTAAGCCTTAAATCGATCAAAATCTTCAAACAAGAGGCTCAATACCTCAATTCAAAATTCACATATCTCGATGTAATAGTGTCAATTCCTACTTCGCAAAACACATAACTCGGTTTTTCCTCCGTATTTCATCACGGTTGCGACTATTTTCAAAAATGCTCAAGACGTGGTGAAAAGCATCTTATCATCTCTATCTCCAAGAATTATTACCTTTTAATTATCAAAAATAAGGAACGCAGACAGTTTTTTTGCTCTCCTGAAAAATCGAGTTTTCCGAGATACGTGGTATGGTAGTTTCACCATCGGTATGCTAAACGTTACTAATTACGGATGCTAGGACTTAGTGAGTTTTTGGACTACCGCTCTCTTTTTGGGCCGCAGTATCTTGATTTATTTTGCGAGGAAAGCTCCGTACTTTTGAAGGATGCCTGACATTCCTAATATGTTGGAGCGCCTTCAATTTCGTATGATACTGTGCAATACATCTGGTGTGAAATAGTTGCTTCAAGCGCCGTGGTACGCTGCGGCGCGGCGCGGCTGGCGGGCAGCCACCGCGGAACGCGCATTGGCGCCTACAAACCTAACAGGGATACTTCACGCATTGCGCAATGCGTGAAGTATCCCTGTTAGGTTTGTAGGCGCCAGTGCGCTGCCGCTCGCTCCGCTTTGTGTTATGCTCTAATATTTAATCTCGTGGAGTCAGCGTTTTTCAACTCATGGCTTTGAAATGTTTGCACACTCTGTATGGATTATTCTCATTTTAATTGATGAAAAAAATATGTAGTAAAGAAAAAAATAATGTGCGTTTTGTAAATATTAAGGTGAATCCATACAAACTTAAGGATTTACAAAGCACACAAATTTCTACACAATTTTTTATAGCCCTTAACAGCCGATGGCGAAAAAGCAACAGCCAAGGCGATAAAGTGTAAAGCCCGGCGATAGGAACTATAGCCCGGCTGTATAATTTTTTATCGCTTCGTGTAGCCCGGCCGTATGATTTTTTCCACTTTCTACAGCCAGCTATATGATTTTCTGTCGCCTTCTTCAGTCGGCGATAAGAACTCCTACTCCACTCTGTTGGTATTTTGAAACTCAGGTCCTTTTGCCAATTTTTACCACGGATATATCTTTCGGAAATTATCTTTCAGAACACGGGAGACAGTTTATAGGTGAAATTTCATAATCCGATTTTTTTAGACCCAAGATCTTCTGAATTTATCTTTTCAATAGCGTGTCAACTTGAACGAAAAGATATAGAACGGGTATTTTACCTGCTCTTGCATCGACCCTCGGTTGCGCACTGTTTCTGATGGTGGCGTAACTTTCCGGAGCTTCAAGGAGACACAGCAGTACCAGAAAGAAAATCTGATGCAGCTGGCAAGAGATCCGATTAGTGATCTTAATGGTGATGGAATTCCTGTTGAAAGAAAAAAATGCTTATTGAAGTTACGACTTTATGAGCCGATTACCGTGCTCATTGTTTAAACTTCACATTTTCTCAAGAGACTTGCTGAAAAATTCTCATCATGGAAGTCGGTACATGTTCTGTCGAAGAGATTGATCATCGAGCAATAATTTTAAAGCCCCACAATCAAGATTTTTTTATGTATTTTTTTTTCCCCCGCGACTCAAATCCGTTTCCGCCCGAAGAACTAAGACCCTCTTTAATTCGAAATTTGGACGTAGTGCACCAGGTCACATAGTGCAAAACACAAATTTCTTCTTTCACTAAAATTGTATTGGATTCAATGGACATTTTTTCATTAAGTGTCATTTATAAAGAATTTGATTTTCTTCAAAGCGTGCTTCTTTCTGGCAAGATATGTTTTTGGATGGACAGCGTTCGACTTAAGTAAAATTCAACGCGCAACGTTCTTACACTCACACTAATTATTATCACCGTGAAGTTAATTGATTAATATGACGTCAGCATAATCAGAATGAGAGACGCGGGGGAATTGCCCGCGTACCAGCGGGTTCGATTGATACTCTCGCTCTTGACCTTCGATAAAACGGAAATCCCGATTTAAGTGTGATTTTCTCTTGATTAAGACTGCAGCGTTAAATCCGCAGATGTGTGTTAAAAATAAAAGTGCAACAACACGCGGTGACGATCAACAATTCTAAAATCTTGGACCACAGTCAATGTTATAAACTGTCGCAGAGCAACTGCATTAGGGATCCAACACTATTAAAAATCTCAGCGTGAGTGTAGAGTACCTGTATAGCGAGAGTATAGACAGATGTGAAACTCCGAAAATCCATCAGGCCTTCACCGATGCCTCCGCGAATAAAGTTAGGGCCCAGAAATGCAGCCAACCTATGAATTTCAAGTATCCAGAGCGATTTATTAATACAACTGTTACGAACCATCGTTTATCAAGCACGTATTTGACTTAGTTTTTGCATAAATTTACTCATTTTTGTGGAAGAACGCTCATTTATGTACTTTCTTAGCCATCTTCGTTAGAATTGGAATCTACAGACTGGCAGTGAAATTTTGTGCGTTAGAAGTTGGTTAGAGGGGTGGCTGCACTTTTGGGCCCTAAGCCCTCCATGAAGCGATCTGTCCATACTCTCGCTATACAGGTACTCTAGTGAGTGCACCTTTGCACCTCCCTCCAAAAAGGATACCTTCCTAAGAACCGGATTTTGAACAATCAACATGTGAGTTCCATTTGTCAGAACGGTATGCAATTAGTATTGCGATGAAAAATTGCGACTTATTTCAATTCCATCGTTCCGTTGCAATTCTCAATAAGAGGCGCCCCTTCAATCGGTTGATAGGCAACATACACAACATGCCGATGCGTTAGCAATAATTTTTTCACGTAAAGGCAATTTACTGCAATTTGTGCAACTTAGAAGGCTTTTTTTTTATCTCTCTGATCAGATTCGGCTACTTACTTTAAAAAAGAGATTCGCGGATTGATCAAATCTTTTAGAAAAATAAATAAATGAAAAATAGAAGTAAATAAATTAAGGAAAATATTAAAAGGCGGAAAGTTTTCATTCCAATAATTTAGGTTTTGAGCACGGCCAACTATGCTTCTCTGCTTGGATATAAAAATGTTTCCATGCTAATTGCTGTTATTCCTTTAAATCTAATTACTCTCAATAATAAATAACCGGAATTTCGATATTGTCTGCAAGGCAAAATATTCCAAAATTGTCTCCGTTTTTATACAGCGGCTGACATCCGAATAAAATCGTTAAAATACTTTTTAAAAAAAATTAAGTTTCGTAAGCACAGCGTAATCTTGATTTATCAATTTTACATAGCACGTTAGTACATTCGGGATTTTCTAAAATATAGAACCTTCAGCTTCAAAACTGCAACCGATCGCTTAACAATGGTGAATTTTTTNGGGGGGGGGGGGGGGGGACGAGACACCTATGTATTAGTGATTTTTAACAAAACTTGCATCTGAGTAATTCTTTCTGATGATCGAAGGGAAAATTCAACTTCAACGTCTCTTTTTGGTATGATGTCTGTGCCTAGTAGTTTATGAAATCGGAATACAAATTGAGGAAACATTTGAATTTGCACGGCTTGTGTTAACGCAGGTTTACTCGACACTTTAAACTGCTGATCCGACATTTTTTTTAATTGTGTGCATAATCTTAACATCTCTCATTTTTCAGCGCAAAAAATAAATCCCAGGGGCGAGAGACTGTCCAGTCACAATGACTCATATTTTGCCGCAGAGGAATGCAGACTCATCGTCAAGTCTTGTATCTTTCGAAATTTCGCCGTGCCAAACAAACGAAGAAACATCAGATTTGATAAAAAGGTATCCTCATTATTATCACATTCATCCATTAAACCTATTAACAAGGCTCACTTGAAATACACCTTTTTTGAGGATTTTTTTAGAAGAATTGTTAAATTAAATTGTCCCCAATCGTACCATATCAAATTAAATTATAACCATTAGCTAGGTTGAATAATATGCTGAGTGCATTGCCCTAAATATGAGCGTGGCAAATCCAGGCGAGACAGCTCTGTCAGGCTCAGCATTGAGGTGCTAAGGAAGAACGCCGTATGAGCCATCAGCCGTTGCCGAAATGCGTATTAAAATACGTATTTATAGGGAAATTGGTGGACATTTTTCCTCCAATTTTTAGAGAGTTTTATTCGCTATTAGATCTAAACTACCCGGAAATTAAAAAAGGATAAATTCATGACTCCTCGAAAGTAAAAATTTTATGGAAGGAAATGTGGCAACACTCGAATGTATATACGGCGTTCTTCCTTAGCACGCTAGAGCGGTAGTATCTCCAGTCTCCACTTGTTTAATGAAAGGTCGCGCCTATGTTGATATGATCAATGTGTGCGTCAGGTGGCTAAACTGGCATTATCGAGATTTACATGCAATTACTCTAATAACATGTAATTAACGCAATTACGTGCTTTCTGCACTCTCTCACTGGTTGCTCCTGCAGCCACACATTTATGTAATATGGATACCTAATCCAATGTTAAATGCAAATTTCAGGCTTAGATTTTTCGGACCCATACAAATCTTTTTTGTGGTACAGCATTTATCCCAGAGCCACTGAGGTTTAATCCTAAAAGTTAAAAAAATGAAACAGCTTATTTGGATTGTTTGTTTTTACGTTGAATTCTGGCCTTATACCTAATAATTTTATTTTTATATTCTTAACATTAAGGAGCCTTCTACGGGTCACCTAAACATCGGCATCTGGGATATATACATTTTTTTAACAACACGGAGAAAAAAACTTCGTGCGTGGGATCCGAAGTTTAGGTCATATGGATCTCTGAAGTTTTCGGATTGAGCATTTGAACACTTTAGATCTAGCTGTCGAAGTTCGGATCACACATCTAAAACTTCAGTTTTTACATCTGAAGTACTACGGTTTTCACATGCGAAAAACTTCGGTTCTCACATCTGAAGTATTTCAAATGTAAGAACTGAAGTTTCAGATGTGTGATCCGAACCTCAGCAGCTAGATCTAAAGTGTTCAGATGCTCAATCTGGAAACTTCAAAGATCCATATGACCTAAACTTCGGGTGCCACGCACGAGCTTTTTATCTCCGTGAAGATGGTAAAATTGTGCAGGGTCTTCTAAATTTTCCGGTGACAAAAAAGGCCAAAAAATTCAAAAACTTCAACCTGAGTCAAACATTTTGAGCTCCAATGGGTACCAATGAGAGAGGAGAGGCTTGCATCCGGTGGCGTGGCGCGCTTCGCGATCTATCGATATTTCCCCATTTGAAGCTGTGGTAAAGAGTCAATTTCTAAGGTGTTCGCTGTGAACACCCTGTTTACCGATACTTTTCCATAGGTTTAAATGACCGATCAATCGATGTATCGCAAAGCACGCCACGCCACTGCTTGCATCGGAATATCCAGTCAAGCCATAAGAGATCCATAACGTTATGGGTCTTTTTATATGTAGACCTTATCAGCACTAGATCAGACCTAGGGCCTTGTCTCCACGGGACGTTTTCATGGGATTTTTCCCAAGTTCGAATCGCAGGAATGAAACTTCTGGGATTTTTCCCAGTTACCGTCTCCACGGGACGGGGCTCTTTGTAGTTCTGCGACTAATTTGCGCGGGAAGATAAATTAGTTAAAGTCGAGTATTTGACCGGGATTAAAATAATAATTGCACTCAATTGACAATTAGACACATTTTTTAACTAAACAAACATGAACAATGTAGTAATGAATAAAATATCGCACAATTCGTTTTCACTTCTTCTTCTTCTCTCAGTGGGTCGTAGGGGTACAAGTACCATACTTGGTACTGGGAAAACTGGGGTCCCAACTTCGTAAGTGGGATTTTTCCCTGGGACAAATCTCGCGAAACGGCTCGTGGAGACAAGGCCTAGCGTAGCATCCCACAAAATCCAAGACGGCATCGGACGGGAAAAGACGGATTGTTTCCCTCGCAAAATAGTATGTGAACCCAGCACTATTTTTACACCTGGTTACGTACAGTTTAGGCCACGCTTCTCATAGTGTTTTTTCTCGTTTATAAATTTTTTATATAGTAATAATTGAGAAAGGTTATTTTTGATGGGGTTCCGATCGGAGAGTATTCATTTTATAGAATGAAAAATTGAGCTACTTGGACATTTGATATCTCTCAAATTTTTTTAAAACCTTCCTCAATATGAATATTCCCTTTTGGTATGATAAAAAGAGGTGCGAGGTCAACATTACCCTGCTACCCATTCAGTGCAATTCATTTTTACGAACATCGCGCTACAAGTTAAGAACATAGTTTAAAGAACTGAATACTAAGTAATTTCAAGCCTACGCAGGTTATAGTTTCAATGGTGAGAATTTTCTTTTGAGAGGGGGGGGGGGAAGGTTAACGTTGTATCACAAGAAAAGCTACTCTTGAAATATTTGCGCTGAATCCAGAATCATTCCGTATGTGACTCAAATTCTTTTAATGTCGCGATTTCAGGTTAAAATGTTTGCAGTTCAAACCGCCTTTAGTTGCCATTGCCTGTCACCAGTTAGACGCAACACTCTCCTTAGCGAAAGAGGTCCAAGCAAACGGATTTGACGCTATGATTCACATCGCCGGGGGCACAATGACTGAAGCTGAGGTAGCAGACGTATTAGATACTGCTCAAATGATTGGATTGAGGCACATTTTGGCGCTACGAGGAGGTAATTCCATCGATTTTAGAGGGCAAAATCTGAAAGGGTCTGCAGGCTGATTATTGAAATACATAGGTAAATTGATAGATATAGAAGATACACTGAAAAAAAATTCTCGGCGTTTTCACCACGGTCCGTTGGTACCTTTACCATCTCACTTTTTTTTGCCAATGATTGGTAATTTTACCAAGACAGACTGGTAAGCTTACTTAAAAACCGGTATTTTTACTGTTTTTTTCAGGTGAGAATACCAATTTTATTGGTAATCAATTCCCGGTAACTTTGCTATTTTATCTCGGTAATTCTACCACAGTCGATAAAAAATCTTGGCGTTTTTACCGAGGTCCAGTAAAATTACCGAGAAAGTTCAATAATTTTACCGAGATTTCTCGTTAAAATTACCAATTTCATAAAGGGTAATTTTACCAAGAAAAAACTGGGATCAAACAGAACCCTGAATTCTTGGTGATTTTACCATTTTCTTCGTAAATACACCGATATTTTTTTTCAGTGTAGAGGGAAAATGGGGCGATCCTATTGGTGGAAGCGGGTGGTTGCAATGGACGAAGGAGGCAAGTACTAGACTAACTAACTGCAACCGACAAGAGAAACTACGGTTAGTCCATCATTTTCCCCCTTAGTCTATAAGTACCACCCGTTTCGACCGATACGATCGCTCTATACCTACTCCCTATGTCTTCTTTGTCTATCGCCTTGTCTGTCAATTTCAATAATCAGCCCGCTGGTTCTGAGAGGCAGAAGTCATTAAGGACATTACTTAGTGCCAATGTTATGAGTAACTACTGTAAAAAGTATTTTTCATAAGATTTTTAAACTTCTGCAAAAAATTAGGATTAATTTTAATTTATATTTAGGAAATCCAATTTGAATGTTTTTACGTGATAATTATGTTAGGGAAAATCCAAGGTTAAAAAGTTTCTGCGAAAAAATTACAATCTTTATCAGTTTTTTAAACACTTCAAGAACTAAGAACTACCGTACCGAGGAAAACAATTCGGTTACACGAACTGTTCTTCGTCACTTATTGAAAACCGAACTTTTTTGGTTGAAGTAACCGAAGTTTTCGATCATATAGAAACAAAATTTTGGTGAGCTGAATCCAAGCACTGTTTCTGAGACAGTATAATTCACTTACTTGGACCAAAAAACTGAAGTACCGAAAATGTTTTCTTCGTGTTGACTTTTTAAGAGTTTCATGACAAATTTTTTATTTAAATTTTCGTATTGTAAATTTGACCCAGGAAAATACCTCGAAAAGGGTTCCCAAGTCATTTTTTTAAAATGACTTGTTATTTTGAAGGGTTTTTTTAATCATTATTTTAAATGCGTCTCAAGATGACGGCCTTTACAGTTTTACGCACTGCGTGAAGTTGTGAAACTGCGGGTTGACTTTTTCGCGTTAAATGTCTTTGCCGTGGTACCTACACTTTTCTAATAACGGAGGAACGGAGGTTCAAAATTTTACATTTCGTACTTAGAATGTGAAACGAGGAGTAAATTCTATATTTTCTCAAAACACCCCTCGGCCCTCGCGATTTTTAAGCCATTTTCCTCGAGACTTCACTCCTCTTCTCGCTCCAGCAAAAGTTTGCAATAGACCCACTGTTGTTTAGTAGCGACAAAAGAGTGGAGAAAATGAAGCTCTCATTTGACAAATCGCCTGAAACTCTTAAAACTTGTTGCTCATTTTTTCCTCAACAATAAATTTCTAGGGGTGGGAAAATAAGTTCACTTTATGTTCGGGCTAGTTACTCCTCTGATGTTCGAGTGGTAAAAATGAAATCGCAAAAAAAGAAAAAGAAAGATATATAATGAAAGAGCATTCCAGTGAGAAGCAGGACGAAAATTCATTAATGTCACCATAAAGTAAAACTGGACTTATTTATGCTAAAAGGAACTATGAGCCATTTTCAAACTTTTAAGTGGAGCAAGTTTTGTGAAAACCGTCGGCGTTTCTTTCTAAGGCTTGTTTGAAAGCTAAGGAGTTCTTCTAACTGTGCGTGTTGCCAAAAGCATTACTCGTAATAAATGAATAAGTGAGATCTAGGGGAGGTACGTAGGCCCTTTTGATTGAATTCAATGTCCCTGATGTCGTATGTGCAAAAGAAAGAAAATTATGTACAGTATTTTGCAGATTGTGTCTCTGAGTCTACCGATTTTCCTCACACTGCCGATTTAGTTCGATTCATACGAAAAAGGACGGGAAAATACTTTACTATAGCAGTTGGTGGTTATCCAGATACTCACCCCGAGGCAATTTCACCGGAGATGGATATCATTTATTTAAAACAAAAGGTGAGTTCAATTAATCTTTTCCGATGAGAGGCTCCATAGACAACCCCCTCCCCCCCCCAAAAAAAAATAGGACGCATCGAATCTGGAGGAGGTTTGAAAAGAGCGAACCGTTGGATGTGACACTCGTAAAAATAGTACTCAAGGTTTAATTGCCGAACGGGTGAGATAAAAGTTTCGGGAGTAATGTCATTCCCTCCCGAAAAATTATTGATGAGTGACGTGTTGAGCATTAATTGGACCGCGTTGAGCAGAAAGGAAGCAAGCCACATCAGCTATTGCCAAATTTCAATCGGCAATTAATTTTTTTACCCAAAAACGGTTGCGCAAATTGTTGTGCAAACTGTGCATTAAGCAAATCCCATAGAATTTTCAAAGAAATCCGCATAAACGTTCTCTTGCGAAAAATTAAATTGCCCAGGTGCACCGAAAAAAAGGATGCTTATTTAATATTCTGGATGTAAAAGAGTGCGCTACAACTCACAAAATGCTAAATTAACCGCTTCAGTAGTTACCTACTTTAGCAATGGCATACACATTTTTACACCTAGAATATTAAATCAGCATCCTTTTTTCATCGGTGCACATTCGGCGAAAGCTGATGTGACTATGGTCCTTTCTGCTATAAACGTGGTCAAATTTCCGTCTTACGGTAAAGATTAATGTCGGATTGAGCAGTCAGAATAGGTCCTGTTTGACGAACAAATCGCTCAACACTCATCACCAGATAAAAGTTCGGCGAGACCTTGAGGATAATATCCCCAGCACACGGAAGGACACTTCCAACAATGATCACGTCCCGAAAAGCAAGGTAGCTAGAGCTGAAGTATTCGGTTCCGACTGCTGAAATTCGGTGAAATTGCTGGAGGCTTCGCATACTAAACTACCTTCAACTGCAGTTTCGCAAAATTTTGGTTGCCGAGCAGAGGATTGAGTCAAAAGAGAGGTCGGACAAAATTTTGAAACTGTAAAGTGCTCATAACCTCGTTTATACAATATTTTGAGGCTCTAAAAGTGGCTCTATTGGTTTCCTCGTGAAATTTCCCTCTACAAGCCCTCCTTAAGATCAAAATGTAACGAAATAAACACCAAAATTTGCAGTTTTAGTCAAAAATTGTATGTCCGACTTCTCCGATTAACTCGATCCACTGTGTGCCGGGACCAAAAATCTCGGCTCCGGGTTTAAAAAGGGGTGCTGATATTGCCGCAAAATCAGTGGCGTGGCGTGAATTGCAATGTATCGATTGTTACGCCATTTAAACCCATGGTAAAGAATCGATTATTAAGGTGTTTGCTGTGAGCACCCTGTTTATCGATCCCTTTCCATAGGTTTAAATGGCATAACAATCGATGTAGGAGGCGCGTGGCGCGTGCAATGGAGTCTTCGAGAAGAAATGACGAGATATGCAGAAGAGACGACCAATAAAACCAGAAAATATACTTTATACAATGTTACGATACTCTTCTGATGAAAAAAACTTGTAAAACCTATGAAAAGCGATAATTATTCAGGTGTCTATTTCTTTCTGTTAATTGAATTCGCAAAGGATTACGCAAGCAATCTATCGGCCTTGTTGTTAGGAAAAAAATAAATTAATTTCCATTCATAAGATCGGCACTTTTTTTTTTACATCAAACGGCTGGAATACCCGAGCCGCGGTTTAGTATCCAACGGTTACGTAAGTGATACTCTGAAGTTCGATGCGAGTATAGGTCGGTGAACTTATGAAATGGAGGCAACCCGTTTTCGGTAACAACCTCACTTTTCTCATTCATTAAAAGCGGATGCACGACCTCGTTGGTCACTGCAACCCCCCCCCCCCCCCCNACGCTAAAAATGTTAGCCTTTCATGTGCCATTTCTGCAACAAACATATCTCTAATGCGTCTTGGAAAATGAGTTGTCACGCACGCGCGCTTTCAAACGCATTTATACATCCAAAATTGGTCAGAAAAGTCAAAAAATATATGGTCAAAATTGGTGAAAATATGATTTTTAAACTGCCGCTGAATGGTAGGTTGGCCGAATAATCGATACATTGAAGTTTGACACATTCATATTCTATGGCATATTTCTTTGTCTGGATGATTGGTTGGTAAATACATTCATTTGATGGAGCCTCAACAAAACAAAATCATTGACACCGTAGGAAAGTGAGATCGATGCAGAGAGAGAGAGAGAGAGAGAGAGAGTAATAAAGTCCTAGATAAAAGAGACGTTCGTCCGCAGACCATTAGCGTTTGGAAAAAACAGGAGGTTTTAGTGCGTTTGTTTTTATGAAAATGTAGTCTGCTGTAAAAATTATTTCCTTGTGAAATGCTAGTTAAACTGTACTTTCCAATCAGAGGCTACTGGCAGTACAAAGATTCTGTAAAAGAAATTGAAAATATGAAGAATTACTTTTGGTCACACCTAAAAATGAGAAATGAAATGAAAAAATTGTTCTTCAAAACTTATTTATTGATCTATTTCCCAATATTTCAGTGTATGCGCTCGAGCTATACGATATTAGCAATAGGTATTATAATGGTTGTGATTCATTTCCAAAAAATGCAGTCCAGGTACACTAAAATTAGTATATTTTATGGTCATCATTCATTTTGAGGGCGATTTTTCCAGAAATGTTGTTGAAGTTATGAAAAAAATGGGGGAAATTGGCTCACACATAAAGGCAATGCTGCTTTCCGGTAAATCAGTCTCCCCTTTTTTATCTATCTTCGCCCATGGTTGAAGTAAAATGTAAATTTTAATTTTTCTTAGCATCTTTTCTTTTATTGAAAATATTTCTTCCAATAGGTTGAGTGTGGTGCAGATTTTATACTTACTCAAGTTGTGTTTACGAGTGAGCGGTTCAAAGATTTCGTTCGCAGGTGTAGAGAGGTTGGAATCACTGTTCCAATTGTTCCAGGTATCCTTCTTATAGAGGTAAGTATCCATTTCCAAATGTATGATACAAAACCAAAATCAATATTACACAACTAGACTCGGTCAAGTTCAAACGGAAGAGGATCCTATGGACTGCAATACGCCGAAACCCTGGTAAAAATTGGCAGTAGAATCTGTGTTTCAAAATACCATAGACCTACGGCCAGCTGTAAGATTTCCAATAGCTTCTATAGCCGGCTACACAATTTCTTATACCCTTTTATAGCCGATGGCGATTAAGCAACAGCCAGGCGATAAAGTGTATGCTAAACGTCACTAATTACGGATGCTAGGACTTAGTGAGTTTTTGGACCAACGCTCTCTTTTTGGGCCGTAGTATCTTAATTTATTTTGCGTGGAAAGCTCCGTACTTTTGATGGATGCCTGCTATTCCTAACATATTATAGAGCGCCTTCAGTTTCGTATGATACTGTGCAATACCCCTAGTGTGAAATAGTTGCTTCAAGCGCCGTGGCACGCTGCGGTGCGGCAGGCAAGCGGGCAGCCAGCGCGAAACGCACATTGGCGCCTACAAACCTAACAGGGATACTTCACGCGTTGCGCAATGCGTGAAGTATCCCTGTTAGGTTTGTAGGCGCCAGTGCGTCGCCGCTCCGCTTTGTGTGAGGCTCTAATATTTAATCTGGCGGAGTCAGCGTTCTTCAACTCATGATTTTGAAATGTTTGCACATCCTGTATGGATTATTCTCGTTTTAATTGATGAAAAAAAGATGTATTAAAGGAAAATATAACGTGTGTTTTGTAAATATTAAGGTGGTTCCGTATCAAACTTAATGATTTCCAAAGCACACGAATTTCTACACAATTTCTTATAGCCTTTTATAATCGATGGCGAAAAAGCAACAGCCAGGCGATGAAGGGTAAAGCCCAGCGATAGGAACTATAGCCCGGCAGCATAATTTTTTATCGCTTCGTATAGCCCGGCCGTATGCTTTTCTCCGCATTCTACAGCCAGCTATATGATTTTCTGTCGCCTTCTTTAGCCGGCTACAAGAATTCCTGTGGTATTTTGAAACGCAGCTCTTATCGCCAATTTTTACCAGGGAAGGAACAAGGTGTATTTACTGATTTTAAAAAAAAACGTATCGATGGCCAAATTTGAAAAAAAAATGTGCATCTCAAGTGAACGTTTAGTGCGAAAAGGAACTATGTTGCACGTAAACCATATGCACATAAAGTCGCTCTTCTGACGTGAGGGTGTGTCTCTGTTCCTGCGTGAGCTCCAGAAAGCATGGAAATTTATGTACAGGGCTTATGGGGGAAATTAAGATACGCCTTTACGGCAGAGGATCTTATTTTTGGAATTTTGGGTCTTGAGTTAGGTTAGGTTAGCTTAGATTAGGTTAGGATTTAGTTTCCTTTGGCATTAATACGTTCAATTGCAACGTTTGAACACCTTCAGTTATGTTTTAATCTCATCAAGGAAAACTGATCAAGAGATTTCTTGTAATTTTTTGTGAGTCATTTTGAACTAGTGACGGAAATTGGAAGAAAACAAAGCAATAGAAATTAATTGGTTAGTTTTTCTTTGAAAAATGAAAAAAGAGTAGCTGCCGACAACGCTACACTCCACAGTGGTCTTGCGGCAAATAAATGCAACAAATGTACCAAAATGCGGTCTGGTCTGCAGGGGACAAGTCTACGGCACGTGTGGACTTATAATCGCAAAAACTCAGAATCTTGGCTGATTCTAATTTCGAGATATTGCAATTTGAAATTTTCACAGTAAATCCAAGTTGTCCACTGATTTTGATCAGCTTTTTTATTTATTTTACCATTGAGTAGGTGTTGATCGGCTCTTTTTTCGTGTCGATCGAATACATACTGCCCTCTCGTTACATGCAGCCTACCTATCATACCCTTTTTTTTTTAACTGAACAATTCGCCTTCTACTGCGCCTGCAGCAATTGTTGTTACGAATGTGTTGTGCGTGCCGATTTTAGCTCAATGTATACTCGACTCTGTGAAGGCGTTTTATGTGAGGAAGTAGCGCAATCTGTTGAAGGACGACTGAAGTAGAAATCGATTCATTCAATCACACTCCTGTTGTTTTCTAACAGAGTGCTCTGCTTTCGCACATTAAACGCCTTCAGAGAGTCAAGTATGTAATGACCTGAGATCAGCACGCACAGCATATTCGTAACAACAATTGCTGTGGACACAACTGAAGGCGAATTGGAAACACCCGTATAATACACGTTGAAAATCATTGTAACCCTTTANAGCTCAATGTATACTCGACTCTGTGAAGGCGTTTTATGTGAGGAAGTAGCGCAATCTGTTGAAGGACGAACGAAGTAGAAATCGATTCATTCAATCTCACTTCTGTTGTTTTCCAACAGAGTGCTCTGCTTTCGCACATTAAACGCCTTCAGAGAGTCAAGTATGTAATGACCTGAGATCAGCACGCACAGCATATTCGTAACAACAATTGCTGTGGACACAACTGAAGGCGAATCGGAAACACCCATATAATACACATTGAAAATAATATTAGCTCTTTACTTAATATTCTTACCAATCGAGAGTTGTATTTTACAGTCTTTTTATGGGACATTCTCAAAATGCTTTTCAACATAAACTCTTACACAAACCAAGTTTAAATTCAAAATAAAATATACTACAAAGTTTCGGTCTTGATGGGAGGTTTAGGCTAAACTTCCTGCCTGAGGAAGCGACAATACCACAATGCTCTGAGGCAAAAGAAAAATGCTTCAAAAATTTACTTTGGAGACTTCCACAACTTTGCACCGACTGATATCCCAAAACGTCATTTCCATCGATGAATTTGACCAGTGGCGTGGCGTGAATTGCGATATATCCATTATCATGCCATTTAAACCTATGGAAAAGGATCGATAAATAGGGTGTTCGCAGCGAACACCTTAAAAATCGATTCTTTACCATGGGTTTAAATGGCATAACAATGAATTTGACCCTTTTCTACATGGCTTATCATGAAATTGATTTTTAGTGCTTTAGAATTTATTGATAATACTTCACAATGCTTTACTTGACTCAGCAAGTCCTTAACGTGTTTATGATCAGGGCTTAAGATTGAAAAGATCACCTGAATTCATGGTAACCTCCCTAGCGAACTACGAAATCACACAATCACCCCCCATCCCGCCGACAAGACTTTCCTTTGTGTTATTTACTGAATTTGTAGCTCTTGGTGTTATTTTTAAAATAGACTGCAAAGTTGATTGGATCCTTAGTAAAAATCTGCGAAGACTGAAAATTTGAAGCGAGGTATATCGTATTTTGCATTTCAACTTAGTTTATGTTGGAAAGTTTTTTTTAGAATCCCCTATAAAAAGACCGTAAAATACAATTCTCGATTGGTAAGAATATTAAGTAAAGAGCTAATATTATTTTCAATGTGTATTATATGGGTGTTTCCGATTCGCCTTCAGTTGTGTCCACAGCAATTGTTGTTACGAATATGCTGTGCGTGCTGATCTCAGGTCATTACATACTTGACTCTCTGAAGGCGTTTAATGTGCGAAAGCAGAGCACTCTGTTGGAAAACAACAGAAGTGAGATTGAATGAATCGATTTCTACTTCGTTCGTCCTTCAACAGATTGCGCTACTTCCTCACATAAAACGCCTTCACAGAGTCGAGTATACATTGAGCTAAAATCGGCACGCACAACACATTCGTAACAACAATTGCTGCAGGCGCAGTAGAAGGCGAATTGCTCAGTTAAAAAAAAAGGGTATGATAGGTAGGCTGCATGTAACGAGAGGGCAGTATGTATTCGATCTACACGAAAAAAGTGCCGATCAACACCGATTCAATGGTAAAAAAAATAAAAAAGCTGATCAAAATCAGTGGACAACTTGGATTTACTGTGAAAATTTCAAATTGCAATATCTCGAAATTAGAATCAGCCAAGATTCTGAGTTTTTGCAATTCTAAGTCCACACGTGCCGTAGACTTGTCCCCTTCAGACCAGACCGCATTTTGGTACATTTTGTTGCATTTTTTTTTTTTTTTTTTTTTTTTTTTTTTTTTTTTTNGCTTTAAGACCACCGTGACTCTAAGATACTCATTTTTTTCACTTCAGACATCGATACGTACTATAAATTTTCCTATGACGGTTTAGTTACTTTTATAGATGATCGAGAGGAATTGGTTCTTCTTCTTTTATCACACGGCATGTATATATATTTTCTATTTGCCGAAAAAACGCCTTCAAGATCGAGTGATACTGCCATGTGCGCAAACAACCCGAGGGAGGCACGTTTTACTTAGTCAGACTGAGAAGCCTATGCTTCCACTCTCAAATTATTTTAAGCAAATGTTCATTTTGTTTGCCAGAATTTTGTCTTAAAATTCGATTATTTTCAGAATCAAATATTGTTTTAGTAGTTTATTAATCTTAATTTTTTTCGGTTTATTTTCGTCCATTTGCAAATTTCAAACGTTCAAAATTATTCCTCGTGAGAGCGAAAAAACAAACTAACCTAACATTCGCAATTAGGTAAAGAGGCCTATTTTACGTTGAAAACCTTTCTCGAAAACAGTGGGGAAAAAAGCAACATAATTGAGAGCAGGAGTAATATTTATGAGAACCCGCATCAAACAGAGACGGTTTGAAGAGATTAGCGCAGGCTGTGTTCGAGGATTTTGCCCTGCAGTTTAGCAGCGATGCCTCGGTGAATATTTGTCTTGATCCGCTTAAGGTGCAACAATTTCGAATGCAGCTTTGACTGACATCTATAGCACATTAAACACGCCTCATTCCATCTCACTACGTCTAATTACTTCCGGTTAGTGCTTGAGGCCATCTTCACCAATTCCCTGAATTATAGAGGAGTACTTACCTCTCGCGGACCCGACCGGCGTGACCGCATCGATGAAGGGGCAGATGGAATACTGCCGTGCTGAGGCAGAACAGCAAATGGGCTTTTAAATGTTGCCAAATTTCCTTTGACGGAGAGTTTTATGTAAAATTAATACAAATTTACTGGATAATTACTAATTTATGTACTAAATAGTTAATCAATTTCATGAGACGATCAGCAGCTATGGCTATTTACGTCAGAGTCCAAGAGAGTATACATTTGATTTTGAGATTTAGTTGAAATTTTGAGATTCAAAAAGAGGTTTAAAATCTCAGTAATTATTTTTTATACTAATACTAACGAGCATACTAATAATCAACGATTATTAATTTACTCATAACATTTTTCAACTATAATAACACACCATATAAAAGTTAAAAAAAATCACAAAGAAAAAAAATACATGGCACGGTATGCCAAAAAAATTCCTAGATAAATACACATAGCATAGATCGCATAGATAGATCGCAGAGTAGATCGCACATCGCACAGAATGCATGGGACCAATGCGATTACAGTGATGTAAAAACTTATCTTATCTTCAATACTATCTTCAACTTATCTTATCTTCATCTAAAAAAATGCTTAGAATAGGGAAAATATGTTGTTTTCTACCAAATATGTCCATTTTGAGGGAAAACGGTCCTGTCGAGTGTATTACTTTACATATTTTGCGTATTTTTCAAAGGAGAGGAGTCACACGATTTTGAAAACACGGTAATCGCGTTCGTGCTAAGTGCGGTCAAAAAGTTCCTAAACTAAGTAACTAAGTAACTAAGTAACTAGTTAAACTAATAGGTATTTTATTGGGGTAAATTTGGCAACGTACACGTGTTCATACGACGCTTTATTGTATCACGGCAGAATCGGTTCAACGATTATTCGGAGTTGAACAACGTGCATTTTGCAATAAACTATAATTTCTGGCTCAGTTTAGGAACAGCGTACGGCCCATTCGTTTCCTCGTGCACATACGTGTTTTTACGGTTGAGCCAGCAATTGAAGCTCCTAATTGCAAAATGAAGTCCATTTCATGTGTGGCAATGGTCATTGTTTAACATCGGTGGGGCAGGATGATTTTGGTCTTCATGCCATTATGAAATCTGCGTCTCTGGACCGCCCCTCCCATCCTATTCCCATTCGGAAATTCGCGATACCCATTCCTTGTCACTCCAATAATTATCAAGGGCCATGATGAAACAACCCCTTCATTATCCTGAGCCGATTGGAGTCCCCGTCAAGCCGGAATCACACGCTGAATGTAGGAGCTGAATGTATAGGAGCTGAATGTGGCTTGAATGTGGAAGTCATCGGCCTCATGCATGAATTTTGCACTTCGCGCAAAATTCAGCAACGAGGCTCAGCGACCATCGGATAATGTCGGATTTGTCTGAACTATTCGAATAAGGTCTCGATAGACGATCAAATTCCCGAACCAATTACCATCAAAGTGTCGGGAGTCATTAGTCTTAAACTCATTAATTTGCTTACTTTTAAAATGAAAACTTGGCAGAAATGTTTCCTGTGACTCCATTCTGATCTTACTTTGTACAAAATGTAGTGCGGCCTGTCAAAATTTGATGGTAGATGGTGACCATCAGGCATCAGCATGTCTACTTTGATCGGAATTTGTTCGGAATTTGATCGTCTATCCATCGCTGAATTTGTGAAATTTCAGCCCTTGAGCGATGACTGTTGACTTTCATATTCAGCTGTCAAATTCAGCGTGTGTTTCTGGCATGAGTGTTACACTCAAAATTGGACGAAGGGGTGCTTTCGGTCGTGTGTCTGATCTGAAGAGAACAGTGAAGACAAAATATCTTTTGGAGGACACAGTCCAAGAGCAGTTTATACTGTTGTTAGTCGTTTGAATACTAAAAAATCGACCAATTTATCTGCGGCTGTAAAGATCAATTTATTTATCTGTATATTATTCAAAACAGCCGTTTATGCAATCTTCAGCATGCTCACCTACTTGGTCATGGTTTTAACCAATAACAAACAACTTTTAGCACTGAGAAAAAGCTATGGCTTAAAGCAATTAATGGTCCATATGGAGCACCACTAATAGTAGTAAAGGCAACACATAATAATTAGTTAGTTATGGCACGTATACCTTAGTGATTATGTATAATTTAGTGTTGCATGAGATACCCTAGCATGATTCAGACCGAGAATCATTATTTCATTTACGACTGTTAGTGGTGTTCCATATGAACCAATAATTGGATGTATTTCTATCAAACGGAGCTAAGCGCCATTGGGGTAGGAAGGGAGAGGGGGGCTTGAATTGGTGGGTGTTGCGGAACGCGATGCTCATCCCGTCCTATACTCGCAATGTTTTTCCATGGCGCTTAGTTCCGTTTGACAGAACGCGCTATCCGGGTTTCTAAAATCCTCAAAAGGAACTCAATCCGGCGCTTAGTTCCGTTTAACAGAAATACGTCCAATTGGTTTAAAAAGCCCCAGATTTTTCTCCGTGAGGGTTAGATGTTGGTAGAGACAAGGTCCCATTTTGCACAAGGCAGCAGTGAGTGCGGCCTCCTCGCTGGATAATGTTGATTTACTGCTGGTTTGTTGCAAATGATGTCAACTTTTGTGCGCCAGCTGGTCTATGACAACCCTCAAATACTGTAAATAGGGCGAATTCTGTTATTTTAGCAGAATCATTCAGTCAATTTCAATTAGATTCGTGGAAAAGTTTTGATGACCTTTCTCTTTATTGTTGTAGAATTCTCAATCATTGCGGAAGTTTGCAAACATATGTCAAGTCGAAGTTCCCGAGATGCTACTGAAAGAACTAGAGGGTGTGGAGAATAGTTCCAGGAACCTTCAACAATGGACGCACAATGTTGCAGCTCAGATTGCTCGTGATATACTCGAGGCTGGAACATCTGATAGAGCTCATTTCTTCACGATGAACAGGTGAGTGCATAATTGGATTAAGTTCGTCCAACCTACATTAAGAGAAACCAACCTACATTAAGTTGAAACTCATAAAAAGAGGGTTGAAGTTGTATTCTTTATAAGGCTCAATGTAAAAAATAAACACTAAGCCCTTTTTTCACGAATTTTTGTTTTGTTTTTAGACTTTCAATTTTGGCAGGAGAAAATATACGGTTAGAGAAACTCAAAAGCATTCTTAACTCAATTTTTTCGAAGATGTGGGTTCCTTTCTGATAGCTTCGGTCCAATTCTAGTCACTAATGCCGCACTTCCGCCCCCCTTCCTTCCAAAAAAAGGAGGAATTGGGCCTGCTAAAAACTTCCTCAGCTGAAGCAACTTTCCTCTAAAATCAATTTTTCATCAGGGGAAATTTCGCAATATTCCAATTTTCACTCGACATTTACTACGGCATTACAGAGGAAGAGCCTCAAGCAATCCTCCAAGAATAAAATTGCGAACATTGTGCGGCATACCTGTAGACTATTTACATCTTTCAGTTTGACACTCATTCAGTGGATAAACAAAAGATGATGCAGATAATGCTGCTTGCCTAAAGGAAAACGCCTCATGAAAAAGCGAACTTCGCCAAATTTCCCCCGATAAAAAATGCATTTTTGAAGAGAATTGCGAATATTTTTCCTCGTCATTTTTTAATACGTTGGATTCATTTGCGAGTAAAATTCTCTGAAAATTTCTAGGAAAAACACTCATCGGTCTTTCATAAAATTCATTTTTTATCAAATGACATCCGGCAACGTCCAAGGGTTCATACGGCGTTCTCTCCCAGAACGGCTGAGTGAAAGCTAACACTGAAAAGTGAGGAGCGCCAAGAGTTGCTCATCAAAGCTACCCTCCTACTTCATGTTTACTTAAGACGCATTTGAATAAAACAACCGAAGGAAAAGAAAGAAAGAGCAAACGGAGTATGCACTAGAGAGAGGAGTTTCTTCTCTTCGCTGTATTTGTCTTCACTTTATTCGAGCCCTGAAATGAGTTTTCAGGTCAACGCAAAGTTAGAAAGAAGTTGTTACAATCGCACGTTATGCTCTTTGAGATTTCTTGCAATTCTTTCCTCGACATTTGAAGAACAACTGTCGAGTTAAAAAGTCAACGATCTCAAACTACTGCATTCGCTTCGAGCGTGAGCCAATTTTCTTACATTTTCATCGATCGATTTAAATTTCTAGGGTCCAAGAAGTCCAAGAAATGCACGCCAGACTGACTAGTTCATCGCAACGTACCTGAGAGGAGGAGGAAAGACTGATTAGAGGGGCTTCAAGACAGAAAAATTACGTGTTCGAGGCACGAAATCAATCTCTGAAAAAACCTCCGCCTAACGAACGAGAGATGAACTTCACAATTGTAGTATTCTTATGACCTTGTAATACACAGTTCTGGTTCTTCTCAAAAGATTAATAAATATTAGGTCCTCAAAACTGATATTTTTTGCTCTTTTCATTAAATCATGCATGATGGAACCCGAAAAAAAATTTTGGCTTCGTTTGATACCGATAGTCAGGCCAAAAAACCTCTGTAAATTTTTCTTGATTCTTGATGACAGACTGAGCCAAAGCCAAGAGATGAGGGATTTTGACTATTTTTTTAAATCCTGCCGCGTGACTTTTTAGCCGACCGCGCGAACCAGCGGACACGTGAAGCTCGATCTTTAAAACAGACAATTTGATTCAGCGATTGGATCGGACGAGGCGTGAAGTCGATTGCGCATGCGCGTGTTGCCACGAATGCTTTTGACCGTTTTTTGAAAGTTCATTAAATGCGCGTTTTTTACTCCAGCGTGGAGTTTTTCAGACCAGACAATCGGACTCAGCGGGTCATTTCCAAGGGGCCTAGCTCGGTTTCAGCCGGTCTCAGAACTTTCGATTTTGAGCCCCATAGCGCGTGTTGTCACGAATGCTTTTGACCGTTTTTTGAAAGTTCATCAAATGCGCGTTTTTTACTCCAGCGTGGAGTTTTTCAGACCAGACAATCGGACTCAGCGGGTCATTTCCAAGGGGCCTAGCTCGGTTTCAGCCGGTCTCAGAACTTTCGATTTTGAGCCCTGAAAGTTAATCTTTGTAACCCCCGTCGACTCTTCTTGAATTTGGGCGGAAATACAATTTCGAGATCGTAACTTGCGTGAGGTCCCGAGGCTTCCCGAACGGCTTCCTAATTCGAGAAACCGAGAAAAACGAGTGCTTTTAACCGTTTCCGAAAGTTCATCAATTAAGCGTTTTTCTTCGTCAATCGCGCGGTCCAGCGGACTCGAAATTCCCGACTAGAAAATTGGACTCAGCAGGTCAATTTCAAGGGGACTGGCTTGGTTTCAGCCCGATACGAGAACTTTAGATTTTGAGCCCAAAAAGTTAGTCCTCTTCCGACGGTGTCATGAGTTACGTTGTGTTTGAGCCCTAAGTCGTTAATTTTTTTATGGATAAAAACTAATGAAGATAATTACTTGGTACCAAATGTTTGTTTTATCATTTAGGATAATTCCGGAAATTTCCATGAAAAAACATGCGATTTTTAGAAAGAAAAAATTAAACAATTTTGAGATATTTAGTAAAAAATAGCCTCTGAGCTAAAATGGTGTTTTGGATATTCTTCCCGTAAGGAGCCGACTTTGTAACCGGAAGAGGTTGTGCATGCAAAAGTATGAAGATGAAATAAAGATAGCAATCTTGATGGGCATTTTCTATAATTTATTAATTCACGTATAACATGGAGAAAAATATTCCGATAGTATTGTTTCGAATCGACCCAATTATTTATTGGTGAGAATTCTATCGATGATTGAAAATTCTATATTTTCGTAGGTCTAAAAAACAAGAAAAACAAGTAATAAAAGTAACAAGAAGTTGAAGTTACAAATTTTACGTCACTGGGACCAGTGAATTTTAAGTCTAATGCAAAAAAAAGAAAAAAAGGAAACAATAACATCAGTCTTAATTCATTAAAAATTCAACGTAAGAAAAGGAGAAAAAAATCCCTCTCCCACGAGTTTAATAATAAGAGGTCAAAATTCTACAAAAAATGTTGATTTTTCACTTTTCCTGATAAAATAAGTTATTTAATGTCATGACTATTCTCTGACTTTCTGCCCAGGATTCTTAAGTGAGTTCATCTTTCATGGGCAGTTCAAGTTGAATACGACCAAATGATGGCACAGTACCTGTTTAATCTTACATTTGCGCCCTTCACTTCAGGTGAAATAGAAACAATTATAGTTAAATTCATAACATATGCATGGCTACTCGTACTCTTATTTAATGGAGAAAATGTACCAACTCAAAGCGCAAACCATCAAAGGTCGAACTCAAAAATTATCAGTGGAATTTCCCTTTCACAGCAAAATGAGATTTCAACAACTGTTTTTGATAATTCTTGCTCTACTCATCTGGAACCTGTCATGCATTTATCGAAAGTTGACAGAAAAACTCGATGCTGCACCTTATACTCTCTTGAATTTTAGTTCAGCTTTTACAATAAACACCCATGGTTTAAACATGTAAAATTGTGGGTTGAGATTTTCATAAAAGGGTTGAATTGACACCCAGTGTAAGAGGGGTTTAAATCAAAACTAATATCTGTCCAGTTATACTCTTCCCAAAGGACGATCAAATTTTCCCAATTCAAAAGAAAACACAATGTCCTGTCTGGAAATTGATAAGAAAAATTATTGCTCCCTCTACATTGAAGGGTTTATCTCTTACTGTTCATCTTGAATAACACCAACCTCTCACAACAGAAGAGAAAAGAGTCAGAGGTCAGAAGGAGGTCAGAGGTTTCTAATTTTTCAGGAAAAAAGTTCTGTTCATATGCCATGTACCTTTTACCTTTGTTCGGGTGATTAGATGGAGAGAATTATGCATAAACTATAGGTAGTGAAATTACTGAGCTGAAGCTTAGTACGTCTAATTTTGATATGTAACAAAGATTGACCTCAAAAAAAAAAAAAACTAATAAAATAAAATAAAAATTAATGCTTTGAATCTAAGTCAATTATTTGGTTCCCCTAAGAAATTAACACAGAAAGGTAAAAGCAATTTTCCTAGGGCGTATTACAAATGACAAATAATATTTTAAAACAAGAACGTCATAATTACATCGTTAGCGTGAAGTAGTGCTGCTATCTGTCGGCCCATTAGTCGCATCTAGGTTTACTTGAGTTTCTGGGCTTACACACGAACAGAGGCGGATCCAGCAATTTGGCAACACCGGATTTCCTCTATTTAAACCTATGCTAAATAATCGATATCTATAGCTCCTGGCTCCCGAGAATCGATACGTACATTTCCATAGGTTTAAATGGAGGAAATCCGGTGTTGCCAAACTGCTGGATCCGCCAATGCACACGAGTTATTAAGAATGATGTTATCACAAATATGTCGACCAGAACTGGATGAAGTTAAGGACTTACAAACTAAATTATCGTTATCACAGTTTGCTTTAGAATTGTTTGCGGCCTCCTATCCGGAAGGTGGAGAATTCGATGAGCTAACATTATTATGATCGGCCAACGTCGGAGCTACGCAATTTTTACCACCGGACACAGGGGCGTCGCAACTGACTTTAGCCTTGTTCAAACTATTATTCTGTAAGCTGGGGGGCACATTGGAGCTATGATTAAATTCTGATTTGTTCGAAGCACTATCGATATTATCACTTATTGTAGTTTTATTCCGATCCGGAATACTATTGTTATTATTTAGTTGCACGGTGGTACTAAGTCGGGAAGCACCGGATAAACTAGATTTATTTACAACGCTCTCCTGGGACGTGGGAGAGATATTCGGCGATGGCTGCGATTCTGTCTGCACGCCTTTCGAGATCAGGTTGGCGTGCGGCATCGGCACCGAATTCCTTTTCGCGAAGTCGCTCTTCATCTCGATGTCGACAACGCTTGACACTGAAAACGAATTGCATCATGTCAATGAGGTTATTTCATCGAAAAAAAAATAAAGCTAGGATCTAATAGGTCGTCACCTTCCCGTCAAAGTATCACAAGAGCCATGCGACGTTTAAAAATTTCCGCCGCCATTTTCATTTTTTTACAGAGAAATTGTCCAACGAAGCTGTCCAAAAATTTCACTGAATTTAGCCGCGGAAATTTTTAAACGTCGCATGGTACTCGTGATGCTTAGGTGACGGAGTGATGTGAAACTTCAAAAGCACGTGCATGTTTTGATTTCTGATCTTGAAGATTTCATGGTTTCCCGGACAAAGAAACGTATTTTCATTCCAAGGTTGCAAAATTGACTCAAACAATTCAATTTCTCACAAGGATGTACCTGTGAAATCTTTGTCCAAAATGTCCTTGGTTTTTGTCTGAGATCAGGGGCAAAGTCGGCGAAATTTTCAGTTAAAAATGCCGAAGATTCTCCTGAAGGAAGTACAATTTACGAGGAAAAATTTGGCAACATTGAAATGTAGTGCGTTCTTCTGTGAGGAAACCGACGCATTTCCGTCGGTCAATGAGAACATATTTCCAGATACTAATTTTCTCATCGGATTTCTATTTGATAAAATCCAAGTTTCCGTTGATCCTATTAGGACAGCAGGAATAATTGAATCTCAATCATGTTATCGAGGCAGGAAACAAGCATTAATTCCTCATTGACATACGTTTTTTTTTTTAACAAACATCAGTGGAAAATAAGACGAGTTAACGATTTGACTGCCGCAGTACTTCACTGCCATCAGAGTCCCTTTACACCGAGAGTAAAGACGATGTTAATTTATCTCTGATTGGTTCTCGTATTTCAAGCCTTCACAGTGTCACAAACGGGGATGAAGATTACATTTTCACCAATTGCAACTATTATAAACTCCGGGGAATTGGGAGTACGGCAAGGAACAAATGGAATGAGAGAGGGGACGGGGATAGGAATTCGGGAACGGTAATCCAGGAGTGCTCGAAAGGTCTAAGAAAATATTTGAGGATTGAGTGAAAAAGGCAAAAGAATTACGCGAATAGAAGCCTTAATCTAAAGTAATGCGCGAATTTTATAATGAAGTTAATTTAAGGTAGAAGTTTGGCAAAGCAGGAAACATGGAAAATAAACGCATTATTATGTTACTCTAGTTTAGGTTAGTTTGTCGACAAATCATCGATATTTTACCCTGTGATGATAAATGAAGTGATATGATTGAATATTGGTCAAGGGTATGAAGAACTTCCTTTTCTCGGAAAAAAATATTTAATCCGGAGAAACGAGGCAACGTTGAAATGCTTATGCGGCGTCAAACTACAACATGGGCCTTTTAAGTTCTATTATTCGATGCCGCGATTATCGTAACGGGAGTTCGAATAATCGCGCCAAACAGTGCAGCCGGCGTTAAACGTATATTAGCGCCTGCAAGACTGTAGGAATACCTCACGCATTGAGCCAAACAGTGCGGTCGGTCAGTTGGCCGAAACGCATATTTGCGCCTACAAGAATGTATGGGAATGCTGTTATGACTGTGAGTCATAATTTTTTAAAATTTGCTCAAGTTTTGACCATAATTAAAGGGGAAATATGTATCCTCACTGTAACGATTCAGAAACGCAGATGATATTTAATTTAATTTTGGTTACATCAAAAGAAAAGAGAACGAACGAAAACATCGCATCGAAATTTTCGATACTTTGATTTGAGATCATTTAGGTAAATTCGCGGGAACTTTTCAGAAAAACTGTGAGAACAGTTAAAACATACATGTATCAAAAATAAAACATGCAAGTTGTGCATATCGTCGCAATCAGAGATAAATATTCGCTTTCTCCCCGGTGCACCCGTCGGGTTTTGCCATTCATCTCTTAAAAAACTTGAACATGGTTGTTCTACGATTTTTTAGGTGTAGTATTTTTTTTCAGTGGTTGGTGGCCAGAGGCCCTTAGTTCACTTTTTAAATGTCTGCGAAAGCTCTCTAGGCCATTCGTGCTGCGAGGGCTATCCATGGAACATGCCCATAAATGAATAGGGAATGAACAGCCTTCCGCGGTGTAGGTAGCTATCTACCACACATTACCCAGGTTGCTAGATTAACACCTACTCGTTGAATATTGAATATTCGCGCAAACATGCGAGTTTTCAGTATCAGAGAAATGCGCGCAATCCTATGCATACCCAAAGAGGTAAAAGAGGGGGCATTCGCGCAATTCAATCGTAGCCTTCGGGAATGGGTTGATTAAAGATACAAAAAACTTCTGATTTGTATTATCTTTTTTCCCGTTTGTGACATATCCATAAGCCGCGTAGTCTCAACTCTCTCTATAAAGGGAGTCTAACTGCCATCATATCCCCGCCATTACGGCGCGTTGGAAATTCCTCCGAGTATTTCGACTTTTTAAAGGCGAGCTTGTCCAAAATTTTGGCCCCAAAAATATGCGATAAATCATCACGTAATCTACTCACCCCGTGCTTTCAGAGTAATAAAGAAAATACACAAAGTTTAGTGACACATTCCGAATTTATCGAGGAGGGTCTAATTTATGTGCCTGATGATTAGAATATATTTGTTACTTACTAGAATTATTAGTTTGAGCATAAGGCGGATTTGCATTGGACACTGCAACAGCGGCAGCCATCGCGCCAGCGGTCGTGCCTGTTTTTACCGTCCCCGAATATCGGGAAGGCATCATACTCTGTCTAACGTTCTGGTCCGGCCGCCATAAAATTATGTACAACTGAAAGGCAGAAAATGCATCAAAGTTGAAATTGATGAAATGGGTTGATCGACGGATTCTCCAATACTGCCGTGCTCAGAAAAAACGCCTTTTGAGCCTTCAGACGTTGCCAAATTTCCCCTGGCAAATCACAAATTTTCAGGAAATTTTTTGAATGGTTGTCTACCGATTTCTTATTCATCTTATTTCTTACACCTTAGATCATTTTGTTTGTAATTTGATCCGAAACGTCTGAAAATTTCAATTCATATTTTTCCTCAAAAATAAACATTTTATAGAGGGGGCAAGTCTCGAATATTAATGTGAGGCGTTCTTCCTTAGCACGGCAGAATAGAGACTTTGCAGGTATCTGAAATTGGATGAATTTCGTGTTTCAGTGGAAACTACTGAGTGAACTGAACACGAGGATACCCTCGGTTCATGAATTAGACAATTATTGGAGAAGATATGACGAAATGATCTAATCTGCTAAAATACGTGTGTTTAAATGGGAAATGCCGCCAGACGACGTCTTTAGGCGGTGTATTTTCTCACTTTTAAATCTATTTTTATACTGTTTCCCATATCAGAAACAAATTATAAAAAATATTTTGAAATCAGCTCTTTAAGGAAATCTTGGTAAAACGAAAATGTTGCATATCAACGGCGCACTGTGGAGCGAGTCAATAGGAAAGGTCGGACAAAATTTGGAAACTTCAAACGCTTATAACTCCGTTTATCGAGATTTTGAGGTTCTAAAAGTGGTTCCATTGGTTTTCTCGTGATATTGTCTCCCAGAAACACCCCTTGAAATTTAAAATGTGACTAAATATACATCAAAATTTGCAGTTTTAGTCAAAAATTTTATGTCCAGCCTCTCCAATTGACTCGATCCGCTGTGCGGCGAAAGTCGGACATTGCTCACATCTATTGTTGTGATTCAGAATATTCGATTATGTTTTGTTTATTTAAAATGCAGCCATGAAAAATGCACCTTCGACATTTTCAGTGAATATTTTGGAATGCATGGAGTGAATTTACTAGAAATTGCGGGAAAAATTAATGGCTGGTTTCCGATGAAAAAGTAAAAAATGATCGGTATTTACAATACTCCAATGAAAGATCAGCATATTCTTTATTTCAGCAATCAATCCGACGTACATATCTTTTTTCAAGTTCTGGATCAAGGCTCTTTAGACGGAAACTTTCTATTTGTTTACATAGTAAAAAAAATTGAAATCCTCTTGTAATTTGAATTGAGGGGTATTCTCGGTCACAAATTTTATAAAATCACTTGAAACAGTGGAATTCTGATATGTGCAGTAGGAGAATAAGGGGCGATAACCCTTTTCCAAAGGAAACTCAACTTTAGGCTCTGAATGAAAAGAAAAAAAAATTAACGCGAAGAAAATATGCTGTGTTATCTGGGGCGGTCTGTCCAGGGGTTTGGGGGTGTTTCAGCACCCCAGAAATTCTGACGGGTGGCTAAGAGGGCCCCGGCAGGTTTGTTGAAGGGACCCCCGAAACTTGAAAACCCCACATAAAGGAAGAATTAGGGTTAGTTAGGGGGGGGGGGGCTCTTGAGAGAAAGGGGTTCTGAAATCATATCAGCGCACCAAGCATTTTCCAACTAGACCGACATTGTGTGTTATAATTAATTTTATCTAGAGAGAATGATGGAATGCATTTTTTTGTGAACTTTGCGTAACTATCACTAAAAATTGATGTAAGTGTGCTTGAATTTGAAGTGTTGAGTGGTGGTTAAAAACCTGGGAAGGGGAACAACATAAAAATGTTTATCTTTTCAAATACCTATACTATACAAACCTTTGGCGAGAATAGGCAAACAACTGTTACACTTGCAGACAAGCTTATGGCGATAGACATGGTGGTTATTCGGAGGGGAGTATGATTTCCGGTTCCAAAATATAAAGGAATAAACGCCAGCCAAATGACACAAGTTGTATACATTGTGAAACCTGCAACAAGAGAGAGCCACAGGTTACCAAGAGATTCGAGGCGTGAATATTTTTTCTTCCCCCCCCCCCCCTTATCTGTTAATTCTAAGCGATTCCGTTCAAACACAAATCATGAAAATCGCAAGGGTGCAAATAATACCAACTGCACACATACTGGGCGATTGGTCTTTGGGCTGAGTCGCAGGTTGCTAGGAGTGCATGTGATTTTATGGATAAAACTAAAAAAGGTGTTCTTTTCCCGCTCAAGAAAGTAAATTTATGGAAGGGATGGCATGTTTAATTAAAGTTCTGAGCAAGCTGGGCTCAATGAGTTAAATTTTCGTGGCCGAATTACGTTTTACGGAGGGAAACAATATTTAGTAGTGGGAGTGAAGGTATAAGGGAATACGGTTGCAACCCGCCGACCGTAAACATTGGAGAGGAGGTGTGGAGGGTCTAATAATTTCGCAACCCTCTCGCCAAGATGCACTAACACATTCTCAAATGGCCTAGTATGAATAGCTGGTATTGGTGCAGCAGCAGTGCTGGCAGGAGAATCAAGCGCGAAGTTGCCGTAGCAATTCTCGCGAATTGGCAACACTGTTTTTCATCCATTTTAAGGCATTATAAAAATATATTCAAGAGACAAGCTGCTGCACTTAGAGTCCGTTGTTTTACATAGATTTAAATTATAGAGGAACAGTGCTGTCAGCTTGCGAGAATCGCCGCTGGTCGGGAGTTACGCAGCAATCGGGTATCCCTTTCAGGATGTAGCGCCTGGATGCAAGTGATGCAACTATTCGTGCTCTTTGGTTGTCCGTATTGCATGCGCAGAAATTGAAGGCGTTTTGACTTTTCGTGTCCATTTGAACGCTTACGGCGAGTTGTTTGCTATGACAATTGAGATTGTATCGGAAGTCTAGTAAAAATGAAAAAAAAAGGAGAAGGGCACAATGCTTTTGATAAATTTAATCCACTTTAACTTCATAATGATGGAGAATTTGCAGGTGTCTGAAGTTTTCATGTTTGAGTACGGAAATCACGGTGAACTGAAAACGAGGACATTCTTGGTTCATATAAATTAAACAATTATTGGAGTAAGTATGACAAACGCTCTATTCTATTAAAATAAATTTATTTTTAATGGGGAATGATATGAGAGACGTCACTAGACGGTGCACTTTCTCACTTTTAAGTATATTTTTAGACTATTTCCCATATTAGAAAAAAATAGATTGTGTTCGATACATCAAACAGGTGAGATTGCATCAATATCGATTGGTTCAGCATGTAAACATAGCCTCAAAGATCAATCCAGCAATCTGAGAGGACGGGTTTTTGGTGACAGACTTTTGACTCTTAAAAGTACAATATAGTAATGAAAAGCGGAATTGTTAGGAATTTTTTCACTTTCAGCTTACCCAATTTAAATCCTAAAATTGTTTTTTGAGGTTGTTTTCCGTTGTATTGAACCAAACGATACATCGAACCACAATCGAATATGATACGAATTGTTGAAAATACTACGAAATCAGCTCTTTAAGCCCTCTAAGGTGAAGTGATAAAAAATGCGTGCAAATTCTCCATTATGTCGTCACCTTCCAGGCAAATTATCACAAGCGCCATGCGACGTTTGAAAATGTCCCATGCCATTTTATTCTTTTACAGCGAAATTTTTGGTTGAATCTGATTGAAAATTTCACTGAATTCTATTGGCAGCACAAAGAAAATTCAATGAAATTTTCAGACAGTTTTGTTGAATGATTTCTCCGTAAAAAAATAAAATGGCGGAGGAAATTTTTAAACACTGCATGGCGCTTGTGATACTTTGCCCGGAAGGTGACGTTGTGTCGACTTGATTTCGATATGATTTGAGACTGTTGAACTGTTGCATTGTGGAGCGTATGATTTACCTATATGTTTTGATTCGTTGAAAGCCTCGGGGATGTTGCGGGTGAGGACTGCGTAAACGGTGCAGACCATGACGAGAGCGATCGGATACGAGAAGGCGATCATGTAGGAGGCGTTGGTGAAAGAAGAGCAGACGAGGATATTGGTTTCCCGTGATGGATAGTGGTGGATCGCCCGCGCCGGGGAGATCATCATCCACACCACATTTATCAGGATCTGCCCAACAGAAAACATTCGTCATGCGATGCCGAAAAGCCGCCGCTCCCTCCTCAAATCCCTGCCCACTACTCTCACGATAAGCAAAAACGCCGTATGAACATTCCGGAGTTGCCAAATTTCCTTCGATAAAATGTTTATTTTTGAGGAAAGCAATGAATATGTTTCCATGAAATTTTCAAGAACTTTAGGTGAAATTGTGAACAAAATTATCTGAAAAATGGGAAGAAAAATATTTGTAAATTTCCCCGGAAATTCGTGATTTACTCAAAGAAATTTGGCGACGCCTGAAGGTTCATACGGCGTTTTTCCTTAGCACGGCAGTGAACTTCCATTCTATGGGAAAACCACCGTATGAGCCTTCACGCGTTGCCAAATTTGCTTTGATAAAATACGAATTTCTTGGTAAACCTATTCATATTTTTATTCCAGTTTCGTAGTAAATTTTTCTCGCAATTCCACCTAAATTTCCTGAAAATTTCAGGGAAAAATATTAGTAACTTTTCACAAAAATGATCACTTTATCGGGAGAAATTTGGCAACTCTGGAATGTTTATACGGCGGTTTTCCTCAGCACGGCAGTACAATCGACGAGGCTCTCCGCGGGAATTTTTTAGAATATTTTTCTCGTTTTATTTGAACAGGTGTTCCGTAGAACCTTTTTAGAGAGAGTACGGACACTGACCCCAGGGACAACATACGCGTATTGATGATGAAACTCCCAAACCACGTTTCTCAGTTTACACTGAAAAAAAAATTATCGGCGTTTTTACCAAGGTCCGTTGGTACCTTTACCATCTCACTTTTTTACCAATTATTGGTAATTTTACCAAGACAGACCGGTAAGCTTACCTAAAAACCGGTATTTTTACTGTTTTTTTCAGGTAAGAATACCACTTTTATTGGTAATAAATTCCCGGTAACTTTGCCATTGCATCTCGGTAATTCTACCACAGTTGATAAAAAATATTGGCGTTTTTACCAAGGTCCAGTAACATTACCGAGAAAGTTCAATAATTTTACCGAGATTTTTCTTTCAGTGTATGACGTTGCAAACTTCTGGTCGCACATTATTTTTTCAAGTAGAGAAATACTCAGCTTCCATTGAGGGGCTTGGAGGACAAGGCGCATTAGTGCAGTTTTTGCTGTTTCGAGAAACACATGTTACAAGTTTCGAAAGTACATAGATTCTGATGGCGGATTGAAAGTTCAAACTGACTTTCATGATTTAAAATTGGAATTTTGGAGCGAATTTTTCAAAAATATGCATTAAGACTGCAAATATTCAAGAATATGCAAGTTTTACTCAAAATTATTAATACCTCATTTTTTTTCAAAAACTGCACGTAAGCGCTTTGTCCTCTAAGCCCCTTAATTCATAAAAACTTCCCCGATTTTTCTTCACTGTGTAAATCAAATTCTGTAAAAACTTCACAGAATGATGTAAGTTTCTTCTGCTGTAAAAAAATAAAATTTGAGCAGGGACTTTTAAACACCGTTAATGAGATACCTGATTTAGAAGTTTCACTGTCGGTATTTGAGAGTCCCACACTGATATTTGTCGTTTCCCGATCGAGGGAGCCCAACTTTATTTCACCAATGCTAAAATTCCGCTCAAGATTTGTATTTTTACACGGAAGCTATTGGACACTTATTGTAAGAACATTAAACGTATTTTATAGAGAATGGGGTCATTTTCATTTCAGTACGTAACAAAAGGTGTTTGGTATCTCAGTAGGAAGTCTGATAAGATGCACGTGAACTACTTTTTTCAGCAAACGAGATCCAGCAAATCGTCGAGTTTAAAAGAGAAAAGTCGCGGAGAGATGGTAGCAATGATTAGATTGAAAGTTTGGGGGGGGTGTAAGTCCGTGGAGTCTTTCGATTTTATTTGATTTTATTCTCGCATGCAAAAAGTAGAAACTGATCTCGAGGGATGAATAGAAAACGAAGAACTCACGGTAAAAAACATGTTTTATCCGGGGGATTGGCCATCTGCCATCTATTGGCAAGAGACCATTTTGCTCGACGAAACGAGTTTCATGTCAAGGAATCAGCGGAGTGAAAGGAACAAGGACAGTGATTCGTAAGTTCATGAGGGAGTTCATTCCGACTTCAAAGGGAGAAAACTTTTCCCCCAATGTTCAGGGCCAAGCGCCGGTGAAAGCGTGTGGAAGCAATAACGGGCGAAATGTACCTGAACGCTACACATGACGCTACAAATGATGAGCTGCGACTGCGGTGTGATGTACCCCGGACGCTTAGCGGTCCGTTTCCCGGCGTTGAATATCCTTGAGATCCGATTTGTCTTCGTCAATAAAGCGGAATAGACTATCGTGAAGCAGAATCCAACGCCGAACCTGTAAAGATTAAAAAATTCAGTCAATCAAAATATCACTTAAAAAAATCCGGATTGGACAGTGATCTTAAATAGTCTGAGTGAAACACATAAATTTAGGGGTCCAACACTGCCGTGATAAGGAAAAACGCTGTATGAAAATTCAAGAGTTGCCAAACCTCCGATAGAATGTTTATTTTTGAAGAAAATTATGAATATTATTCCTCGAAATTTTTAGACTATTTAGATCAAATTACAGACAAAATTCTCTGAAAAATTGGAAGACAAATATTTACAAATTTTTACGAAAACGCGCAATTTCTCAGAGGAAATTTGGCAACGCCTAAATGTTTATATGGTGTTTTTCCTTAGCACAGTCGAACAGAGATACGTGGTTTGTGAATACCAACGTCAAATTGCTCCACATAAAAGACATATAATTAATTTTCAAATGATCCTTTGAACTTGACTTTTTTCTTTCATTCTCTCGTTCCTCAATTGTTCACCATTACTTTGTTACAAAATTATTCTACGATCAGATCATAGACAAAAAGTATAAATCCACCTTTAAATACCCGGTGAACCAAACGTAAATTAACGAAATGGGAAGAAAATTGAAAAAGCAAAAGTTTGGAGGCCGACATACTCTGGGCATCTGGGCAGCGGTATGGCGTGCTTTGCGATGTATAGATTGGTCTGTTATTTAAATCTACGGCGAAGGATCGATGAACAGCGTGTTCGCAACTAACACCTTAATAATCGATTCTTCACCATAGCTTCAATCGGGACAAAATCGACAATCGATCATACACACTTCACCACGGCATATGAGCAGTAAAAAGGTAAGAGGAAAACTCGCACAAATGGAAACAGTTTACAGTAAGTTTACCCTCTTTTCATGTCATTCAAAACATTTTTTTTCTCTCTGGTGAATTGCCGTGACACCTGCCGTTAGGTATTAAGTCACATTTTCGTAGCGATTCAAAATTCGAAATGGCCCAATTAGAGACCAATTAAATATAATTTTCTCACTAACTCATGTTCCGCCGCGGAATCTCGGCATTTCAAAAGACTCATTTGAAGTTATTCATCGCAAAATCTGAAATGAAAATGAGTCCCTGACTTTACATTAAATCACTTAAACTTTTCCCATATTTTGCGCGGAAGCTCGTGCATATGTATGGAGGACGAGAGACGTTTCCAAAATGGGCAAAAAAAAATTGGGCGATCCGAGATATTTCAAATCTAGAGGTACAACCGAGGCAGAGAAACAACGACCCACTTTAAAGTTTAGACGGAGCACTTGGAGTGAATGCGTTTATCTCTGAAGGAGCATTTAATGACGCTACTGGAGTTGTGCCAACACGTAACTTCTGCGAAAGTTCGAGCGATAGATGCACATCCTATCAGCAAGCGAAAATGTGAAAGTTTAGTGGGAAAAACTCAATGATTAGGCAAGCATGACGATTAGGTAAAATAATTATGTAAAAACCGTGGAATCCATCAATTATATTCGAAATCTTTCTCCTAAGGTATATATGGAAAAAAAAATTGGGGTTGTTCCCTGAAATTGGGGCACACTCCAATTTGTTAGATGATGTGGACATTTCAAATGAATTATGGTCGTATCAAAACTCAAGTTGGGGTAGTGTCCTAATTTATTGGGGTACTGCCACAATTAAGTGGAAAAGTCCAAGTTGGGACTTAGCCTCTACTTCTTTTTTTTCGCGTATAAATGGGGAGGAAGGAGGTGTCCAAGGACAGGGCCGGATTTAGGGGGTGGCCACATGGGCCGCGGCCCATGGCGGCAAATTTTAGGGGGCGGCAAATGTTGCAATTTTTTCAAATGTAGGTATAAAAAAATTGGATTCAGAAATAAAATTACAAACGAGAAAGGGGACGAAATCTCTCATTTCCTGAGAGATAAAGTACAGTAATTTCTAATTTGTTCGTCTTTCGGTGATGCATGAGACAGAGCCTTCTATTGGTCTAGTTGAGAGAGAAACCAAACACGCAATTCGGCCTGGAGCGGCGCGGCGCCGAGAGCAATGATGACGAGGACTTGAGATGAAAAGAAGAAGCCCTCGGCGCGCCGGTCAGCATGGAACATATATTAGCGCCTACAAGACTCCTCGAATACTTCACGCATTGCGTCAAACGTAGTGCGGTCAGCAGCGGTTGGCGAGAAACTCATAGTGCCTACAAGACTGGAATGATACTTCACGCATTGCGCCAAACACAATGCGGTTGGCGTGGTGGCGGAAATTAAAATTATGACCTGAATCACATTCATGTTTATTCTTTCATTATTTTTTCGTTCATTTCTTATAAGTGAAAGGCCTTGTCCACACAGAGATAGGTTTAAGGGACTCAACTTTCGCGCAAAGTTCCGTGAACTTTTGCTAGTGTTGACATGGCATTCACAAAAAAATGTGCCAAACACGTCTTATGCACCCCTCCTCCTCCGGCACGTTCACTTTATGGTTTGTATCGATGTTTCAAAACGAATCAGAAGGGGGCGGCAAGTGGGTAAATCCGGCCCTGTTCAAGGGTAATTTTAAGCGCTCAATCCAAAGGTGCGAGAGTTAAGCACAGTTTTGTTCTAATTATTTTCTGGAAAATGCGTAAAAAAGGGATCAACTACGTACATTTTTCGGCATTTCACTCTATAAAATTGTATCTCTGACGGACTTTTTGCCCCTGATAGGAGCCTCAAATCATGCACAAAAGTAATTTAGTGTCCGTAGACGTCAGCTTTACAGACATATCCATGCTCAAGGTCTTTCAAATTTTCAGGGATTAGGACCGAGTGGAGTTTGTTATAGCAGATCCGCCCGTCATTAGCTCCGCCAAAATTCGTCGATACAACCGGGATACAAACCCGGGACCTTTCCTACCGTGCTAGGGAAGAGCTTCATATGGAATGCCAGACGTTGTCTTTCTTTTAAATACCAATTTTTAGCGAAATTGGTCTACACATTGATAACAGATCTAACGGCGGAAACCGAAAGAGTCGGCAAGGGCCTACCTTGGGTCGTAACAATTGTGATAATAAATCATTCTAGATAATATGAGCTCATAGGTTTGCTGTCCTTTCGGACCGTAAGAGCTCCATGACCTAACCCTCAAAATTACCAACAATTCCTTATCCTCCCTTCCCATTAAGGTTTATCTACAGCTCCGTGAAGTAGGGAATTTCTCCGCGCAGGGGGCGCCACCGCTGTGTTTTGATTTTTTGGTCCACGTTTTTGAAGTCCGTACAGCTTCACGTGAGTCCTTGCGCTTTTATGAAAGTTAAAGAAATTTCCCTTTAAATCGAAGAGTCATAAGTTCTAGCCATAACCTTCTTCCTATTGACACTAAAAACGACATGAAAAGTAATTTCTGAAGCTCTGAAACTTGATCCCAGAAAAAAGTAGGGTTCAGCATGATGACCTTCATGCAACCAATCGCGATTGATCGCTACAGCAGTTGCAGATATCTCTCTCCCACTGTGAGTCGTCTCTCTCGCACTTACAGATATCTCGTAAGAGAAACTGGGATCAAGTTATAGCTTTTTTTATTAAACTTTCAAAGCTCGCGTTTGATTCTAAGGATTCCAGACGTATGCTGCTAGAACTTATGATTCTTAGAATTTAAGATATCTATTGTGATATTTAAATAATCACTGATTTCGGAGTCGGATTTTAGCAGCGCGAGTACCGACAGATCGGTTGATGGAGGGCTTAGGGCCCAAAAGTGCAGCCACCCTTCTAACCAACTTCTAACGCACAAAATTTCACTGCCAGTCTGCAGATTCCAATTCTAGCCAAGATGGCCAAGAATGTACGGAAATGAGCGTTCTCCCGCGAAATTGAGTAAATTTATGCAAAAACTGAGTCAAACACGTGCTTAATAAAGGACGGTTCGTAACAATAGTATCAGTAAATCGCTCTGGATAATTGAAATTCATAGGTTGGCTGCCCTTTTGGGCCCTAACTTTATTCGCGGAGGCATCGGTGAAGGCCTGATGGACTTTCGGAGTTTCAGATCTGTCGGTACTCTCCCTATACAGGTAATCTAGGTACCCTACTCTACCGGTGCTATTAGGTGTTTGGAATGTTGGAGTTACCTCTGGATGGAGCAGACGAGGTCGGTGGGTTTGATGATGAGGAGGAAGGTGATGGAGTAGCAGAGGAGGATGCCGGTGAGGAGGACGTAGCTGAGCTCGCGGCCGGCCGCCTTGACGACGGGCGTGTCGTTGTAGCGGAGGAAGACGTAGAAGTTGAAGAGGGTGAAGAGGATGCCGAAGGCGGAGAAGGACATGGCCCCGATGGCCCACCCGTTGCTCGGCGTCAGGTACACCGCCGGGATCTCCAGGCAGCTCTCCCGCCGCGCGTCCGGCTTGTGACCCTCCGGACACGTCATGCACTGCGTCTCGTCCGTCGGCGAGCGGATCTGCAACAAAACACACCGAGAAACTTTTCACAAGCTCGCACTCGCATTTTCCCCATCCTGCGAAGAGAAACAAGCGGGAAAGTTCTAATACTGTCGTATTAGAAAAGCGCTCAGGTGTTAGTAAATGTATTTAGTGAAGAAAGGACGTATAAACTCCGTCGACTTGGAAATGGAAATATAACATCAGCTGATAGCAAACAAAGGTTACCAAGGAAACCGTAAACGCGTATTTTTGTTTCCCGAAAATGAGCTCACCGTTGAGCTCATCAGGCGCGTTTTTTTAGGCTTCATTTGAGTTCAACGATCAATTTCGATAAAAATTACTCTACCGCTAAGAAATTTTCTCATAGACAAACGATCGAAACTACCTGCGCATTACGTTAAAAGCATAAAATACAGTTTTCACAGCTTTATTTATTTTAAAAATGGACCCCCCCCCCAAAAAAGCCTACACATCGATGAGCTGGTGCGCCATTTAAACGCATTAGCACTAGTGTACTAGTACTCAGAGGAAAGTCGAAATCAAAAAGCGCTGCCTATCGGCTGAGCGCTTAAAATGGGCTCGTCGCAAACTTCAGCTAGAGCAAAAAGAACACGGAGAGAAAAACTTCGTGCGTGGGACGCGAAGTTGAGGTCGTATGGATCTCGGGAGTTTTCGGATCACGTATCTAAAAACTTGAGGTCCAGCTGCCGAAGTTCGAGTCAGACGTCTGAAGTACTCCGATATGTACCAACGGGTTCGGGTCACACATCTGAAGTACTTCGGTACATACCGAGGTGCCTCGATGTCTGACCCGAACTTCGGCAGCTGCAACGCAAGTTTTCGGATAGGTGATCCGAAAACTTCAGAGATCCATATGACCTCAACTTCGGGTCCCACGCACGAAGTTTTTTCCTCCGTAAAGAGTTGTTTCTCATAGAAAAGAACTCGCGATGAGCGCATCGGGAAAGTCTGAAATACCCTCATAACTTCACAATCTGCGTAAAAAATATGCGTTTTTTATGATTTCCGCTTCAAAAACTGCTTTCTTGCATGAAATTATGACCAAACAGCTTGTCTGGTATGGTCATGTTCAACGAATGGTGGATGATAGGATGCCTAGGAGGGTGCTAGATTGAGTGCCTCCTGGGAGGAAACGCGGGGAACGCCCAGCAAAATCGTGGATAGGTGGCATTCGAGACAAAATTACAATATGCAATTTACCGGATGACCTCCGGGTCGATGGACAAGAATGGCGATTAAGTGTCGCAGAGCGCCCGGGCGCGCTGTAAAAGCGACTTGTACGAGGGCTGTCCCAAAAGAAACCGGATTTTTGTCATAGAAGGTGAACCGAGCGTTGTAATGCAGTTTTCTTGGGGTTGTTTGAAAGCTGATAAGCTACTGAAGATGCTTGTTATTACAGAATGCATAAATTCGTCTTTGTAAGGAAACTACACGCTTTGGAATAAAGGAAAGTCAAACTCGAGTTGCGATTTTTGTCCTTATTTCAAGAAAAATATAGATACAACTTAAAAAACCCCTGGTTTTAAGTTGAAAACTTCGTTGCTCTCTTCTTCAAATGCTTAAAAAAAAGGAAATTAACATTTTACCAAGTCATCACCTATCCCCTTCAAAATACTCGCCAGCTTTGTCGATGCATTTTTGCCACCGTTTCTTCAATTGGGAGCTTTGGAAATAGAATTCCTGGTTTCTGCATCACGATAATGCCCATGCATCCCTCCAAATTCGCGAATTTTGTGCAAAGAATGCCATGAGTGTCCTTCCTCATCCCCCTTATTCCCCTGACCTGGCTCCGTGTGATTTTTTCTTATTCCCACGACTTAAATCTACCTAGAAAGGTCGACGTTTTCAAACCATTCCGAAAATTCAAGAGAACACCTTGAAGGAATCGCAATCATTCAAACCTGAGGATTTCCAACAGTGTTTCTCCCAATTGAAGAAACGGTGGCAAAAATGCATCGACAAAGCTGGCGAGTATTTTGAAGGGGATAGGTGATGACTTGGTAAGCTGCTTAAAATGTTAATTTCCTTTTTTTTAAGCATTTGAAGAAGAGAGCAACGAAGTTTTCAACTTAAAACCAGGGGTTTTTTAAGTTGTATCTATATTTTTCTTGAAATAAGGACAAAAATCGCAACTCGAGTTTGACTTTCCTTTATTCCAAAGCGTGTAGTTTCCTTACAAAGACGAATTTATGCATTCTGTAATAACAAGCATCTTCAGTAGCTTATCAGCTTTCAAACAACCCCAAGAAAACTGCATTACAACGCTCGGTTCACCTTCTATGACAAAAATCCGGTTTCTTTTGGGACAGCCCTCGTATTATGTATGCTTCAAAAATTATACCATGGAAGGCACAGGTGAGAATTTTGTAAGATAAGTCGTTCCATCCAACCCTTTCGCACTGGGATGCTACACAATATTGAACATGGCTGACGCCTCCGCTCGCAAATCGTGAGGAAGCATCGTGGTCTTTATCAACGCGAGGAAAATGAAAATATAAATACGCCAGTTGATAAAATCCTGTCTCACCACGAGTGTTTTGACGCGTTGGCGTCGGCCATGTTGAATACTGCGTAGCATCCTGGTGCGCAAAGCGCAAGGATTGGATGGAAAGACCTCTTTTACGAAACGTTCACCGATGCCGTAGTATCGTTTTTAAAGCGGGAACCTTAAGAAAACGCATTTGTTTTTACGCAGATCGTTTGCTGCAAGTGTTCCTCGGGCGACTCATTAATTTTCAAAAATAATAATTGGAGAATTCAACACAGCAGAGTTGCGTATTTTATGCTTTCATTCAAACTTGCATCACTGGGAAATCAAGATAGCGTCCGAAAATATGAATATCAAGCTCAGCACGGGATCACCATCGAATACTCAACCCCTCCCCGCAATTCGGCTGAGTGTTAATAACCGTCGCCATCCGAGGCAGTGGCGTGACGTAAATGATTGATTATCGATATTTCCTCATTTGAAGCTACGGTAAAGAATCGATTATCAATATGATCGCTGCGAACACCCTGTTTATCGATCCTTTTCCATGGGTTTAAATGGCAGATCAATCGGTATATCGCAAAGCACACCACGCCACTGCTCCGAAGCAACATGTGCAACAGGCGGGCCAACCGTCCAGGGTCAAACCCATAACCAATCACGCTCACCGGTAAACAGACTGCAGGAAGTTGATTGTTGAATCGATATTGAATGGCCTCTATCTCAGACATGATATCTATCGAACAATGTCATTCGATAGTGATTCAAGGATCGATCCACAGGACTCGGGATCTGGACCCGGGTCGTGAGAGCATGAAACCTGATTATTAGCTAGGCCGTGATCCGTATCTGAAATTCGAGAGCGGGGCAAAACCACCCCTTTCCCCTTTTCCCACTCTCTACCACCCCCGTTAGAAGCGTGTCAGATTCGGGGTATTATGTGTTTTCCCTGAAAATCCAGTCAAGTGAAACGAGATGAGATAACATTTTCGTTTTTTCAAAAAAAGGTTCGAGAAAAAATTAGCCAAAAAATGCATCGCTAAATAGCAACAATGGATCGTCGTCCTCTCTGATGTTTCACTTCGTCGCGTATTTTCAATTTGTTTTAATGGAAATTATTTTTAATCGCAATAATTTTTTCCCTCGTGCGATGGAAAATATTCGGTACTTTGATGCAAGTACCTATCTACTCGTAGTTTGACGTTTTGCCACGCAAGTGGCGCCATCGCAGTGTTTTGATTTACAGGATTATTCTTTGTATTTCGATGGCCAAAGTGTGAAACCACGTAACTCAGTTCGGTAGTGGCAATATGCGATATTGCCAACCTAATTGCTGGAATCAGATGTTACGGCCGAAACCTGTACAATATAACATTGGTGCCAGAGCACGACTAAACATCAAACTTTCCCGAAAAACCCTCGCAGTAATGAATATTAAAACCCAGCGACTGTATAGACGTTGCAGGAATGGAGATGTTGCGTGTGTGAGGGATTTGCGATTTGACCATTGATTCTGATGTAAAAGTTCGCGAGAAACATGATGGTGCCACTTGTTTTCTCTGAAATCAACTCCCAAGCTATAAAAAAAGCCCTCAAGTTGAGGCCAAAATGTAGGAGATATCCCACCCTACCCTGAGAGGCCACGTCTACATCAAAACAAACTCCCCATGCAAAGAAAGGGAGCAAATACATTAGCAGTGATGCCGTGTTTTCAGTTTTGGAGTCTCCAAATAAAGTGGCAACCCTGCCGATGTATTTGCTCCCTATCTTTGCATGGAGAGTTTGTTTTGATGTAGAGGTGGACTCTCAGGGTAGGGTGGGATATCCCCTCCATTTTGGCCTCAACTTGAGAGCTTTTTTTGAGCTTGGGAGTTGATTTCAGAGAAAACAAGTGGCACCATTGTGTTTCTCGCGAACTTTTACATCAGAATCAATGGTCAAATCGCAAATCCCTCACACATGCAACATTTCCATTGGCCCAGGGAGTTGGTGCATTAAGTTCGCCTTCAATTTTGAGTGATACTGTGCCACGCACGGGTGGTCGAATAGTTGCTTCGCGTTTTTGTAGGCTGCATGAGTATGGGTCGCGTTAATTTTTATTGTTATTTCTTAAACGCCTTACATCCAGGAGGCGATCGGAATATTATCTATAGATAAGGATCAGTGGCGTGGCTTGAATGATCGATTATCGATATCTCGCCATTTGAAGCTATGGTAAAGAATCGATTACTAAGGTGTTCGCTGCGAACACCCTGATAATTAATCGATCTTTTTTGATAGGTTTCAGTGGCGTATCGATCGATATATCGCAAAGCACGCCACGCCACTGATAAGGATTAAGTCTGCGAGTAGAGAAAAACTGAGTGAGAAGACTGAGTGAAAAACGGTAAGATTATGCTGCATTGTTGTTGGAAGCATTCATGGAAAGCAGTTAGGCGTGCAGCGTGCGAAGCCCCTACAAAATGGAAGAATCGTGATTAATTTGCCGAGTACCTTTTGTTTATACCT